TCATTAACTTAATCCCATTTATTAGCATTTGCCTTAAATAAGTATTTCTGTCTGAAATGACAGGATTTTGAAATTATGTTCCCGAAAATTCACAATTTCCACTCAAAAAAGTTTCAACCGTGATTCAATCCCTCTTAATTCTTGTGACTAAAAACTATTGCCTTGGCAGATGGATTGTGGCCATTCCAGCAAAATTGTTTGAGGTAAAAACACGGCCTAAATTCACCCTCGCCTGCGAGAGGTTCCAACATACAAAAATTAAACAAGTCAAATTTCTTAGCCGTTAATCGTCATGATGTCACGCAAATCATCTTGTGATAGAACGTGAAAATTGACAGGCGTTACTCGAATTTACCGCAAGTGTTGCGTGACAGATCAGTACACAGGAGCCTTTTCTGTTCGGCCTATTTTGCGCTTTCCTGACAATGATCTTTTCAAGCAGGCTATACACAGGTCGTTCCCTTCCCTTGCCTCTTGACTGACAAGATGGAAGCTCAAAAACCCGTGGGGTAAATCCTCTAAGATGTACAGTTCCACGTCCTTCTCCAGGGAGCGAAGCTTTCGGGCAAACTCGACCGAGTCGTCCAATATGGGATCCAGTGTGCAGGCCTGAAGAAAATAAGTTAGAAAATATAAAGAAAGTATGTTAGGTAAACATGTTCTGTCTAAGACAGACAGACAGACAGACAGACAGACAGACAGACAGACAGACAGACAACCTTTATTTAAGGAAATTCATGAAGGGCGAAGAGGTTTACCAGTAAATCAACTGGAGGCAAGTGTTTCAGCATTTCATCAGGAGCCAGCAGTGGCGACATGTACGGGTTCTTGGAAATAGGAAGGCAAACTTGGGACATAGACGTGGTCCTTGAATGCGACTCGTCATCAAGCCCCACTTCCTCGTCCTCATCTGGCGGTGTTCCCGCCTCCAGATACGCTCTATCTTCAGGTGCATCAAGAGAGAACAAAAGGAGCTCTCCAGAGGGGCTGTCTGATGATTCCACTACGTTCACCACATGGCACTCCTCGATGTCCTTATGGTAGTGCACTCCTATATGGTCCGTCTCTCTGTGGTCTCTCTGAGGGCTTGTGGGTCTACTAGGTACAGTGTCTTGTGAGTGTTTTCTCGACTGTGGATGGCCCGATAAAGTGCTGCTACTTTCGCAGTCCTTTTCATGATCTGAAGCAGCATGTTCGACGTGTGTTTCTGAGGAATGATACACCACTCCATTACAGTCTGGCAAACCCCTTGCACAATCATAACCAACAGCTGCTTCGCTACTCGAGTTTGCTACGTGGTTAACAGAAGCGGATTCGAGACTCTGTGGTGAACTAAAACAGCTGTGAAAACTCTCCGGGCCCGATTGCAAATGAGCATCTAAATAACTACTGCTTCTTGTGTTCTTGGTCTCCTTGGAGCCAACTCTAAAGAGATGC